GACACTCGTAGCAAAATAGATATACATACATATATCACTAAGTTCCATGCAACATTGTCATTCCCACGCCTTAACATAAGCTTTAAAGTTAGCACGTTCCATAAGTGAATTTTTGTTTCTAATCTTGAAAGGGCATTGTGACAATATCAAAAGGTGAAAAATGTATAATATCGATATTATGAGGATGGGGAATATATCGATAAAGGGATAAATAGAAACTGCACATTTGTAGTTTTTGTAATTTTCGATATCGACGCCTTTACACGGACTGACAGACAGACGGACATGCTAGATTGACTCAGCTCGTCGTCCGGATCAAGAATATCTATACTTTATTTTGCGGCAGATGCTTCCTTTTGTCTATTGCTCACATTTGTACAAGAATGCCGTTTTACAGCCCAACTGGGAAAACAGTTGAAAAAAATGTGCATGGGTTCCCAAACCTATCGATTTCGACTGCATACATTTGCGGATCCCAACAACGATTCATCAGTAGGCAAATAGCCAATCGGTAAAGGACCTTTGAATATTAAGCGTATATTTTGCATATTACTTTCGTTATTTTTTGAAACAGCTGACTTTAACTGTCATTCATATTATACGATATAAATGTCTTGCATTTATTTGCATTTATTGTTTTTATATGCATTGACTTCTTGGGCATTAAAGCCGAACCTTGAAAGTTGTCTAAAAACCCTTAAAGCGTGATAGACCCTCTGGATGTGACGGAGACGAAGTTGACGACGGGAATGCGAACCTGCCATTACGTAGGCATTTAGCTCCGGTCAATTAATTGATACTCCCGGTAGGCTAAATGTTAACGACAGAACGTCGCAGACAAGCGAGCCACAAGTAAACATTAGCATGAAGGCACACACTGTGGAATACATGGAGATGCATAGGGGTAGACATAAACAATGCGCAATGCAGCTAACAAGCCCAACAAGGACTAGGAAATGAAAACTAAATAGGGTTAGTGGAAACACCCCCAGAAACAAGCCACAAAGTGACTCATGGTTATATCTATCCATCCCCTAGTCGGGAGCTCCCGACAGTTTCCCAGCTCTAACGGTACGGGCTGTGCTTTGATCACCAATCAGTCAATCAGTCAGTCAGAACAAACAGTTTTATATATAGAGATATCCGTGTGTGAATGGACAAATTCGCTGCTTACAAAAATATCTTTGTCATGGAAAGCAAAGGAGTTGCTCATTTTGAAAGATATGAATATAATTTTTTTTTAGCATTTGCGACACATTTCGAAAAAATACCCAGCTATTAAAACTTGAATTAAATACGAGCTAACACTTAATGTCCACTACACAAAAAGTGAAATAATATGCACTTTATTATTTGTATGGTGCAGCAGTAACAGATATTTATGTCGCAAATGAATTTATGCAAGGAAGAGCTAGACAAAAAAAAAACGAATTGCCAAATGTGCTTTATTTAAAAAGTGCTGTGTCATCCATTCGGCTTTTAAAACAATTGAAACTCTGCCATCGCAGTCAAATGTCGGCAGTGGGGCGTATGCGCAATATTTCAGTTGCGGCTGGAGTTACATTCGTATGTGGTTCGAATTTCTTAAACATCTTCAATTGATTAAATCAGGTAAGGTATAAATAAACGGTATCTGTATCTGTATCTGTATCTGTATCTGTATCTGTATCTGTATCTGTATCTGTATCTGTATCTGTATCTGTATCTGTATCTGTATCTGTATCTGTATCTGTATCTGTATCTGTATCTGTATCTGTATCTGTATCTGTATCTGTATCTGTATCTGTATCTGTATCTGTATCTGTAAATGTAAATGTAACTGTATCGAAAATTAAATTTTATTATAATTGAGTCTTTATGGGGAAAAAAAGAATAAAATAACAGCACAGAAAACAATACAATCGTAATTGCAATGCTGTTTATAGAATTCAAAGAAGTCGCGCATGAATGTGTGTGTGTGCACATGTATACAGAAATAAATGCAATTTTCGCTTGCTGGCAGAAAAATGTGGGCAGCCAAAATACGTTTTCATTAATAACTTTTGTGTTTCTTAACCGATTTTGATGAATACAGTAGATTTTATTGTAGTAAAGAATATTTGTGGGCTCTTAAACATTTATTTAATATTGTGGCTTAAATACAAGTTGGTTTATTAGCTTGATTAACAGCTATGAGGTAGCAGCAGGAAGGTGGCTATAGCAATAAAATGAAAGAAACTTGATATAAGTATATACTATGCTAAAAGATATATGTCAAGTTTGGTGGCTGTAGCTCTTATTTATTAGCGAATTTGCTTAAATTACAGGATTTCGATATCGATTTGTGTCGATTACTTACGGGACAAGTTATCGATTATCGGAAACAAAATCTAACTGTGAGTGCCTCAAGGTGGATCTACATACCAAATTTCAAGTCTCTAGCTCTTATAGGTTCTGAGATCAATGCGTTTATATATACGGACGGACGGACAAACAGACAGACGGATACGGCTAGAGCGACTCGGCTATTGATGCTGATCAAGTATATGTCTATTTTATGGGTTCGGAGACGCTTCCTTCCGCCGGTTACATGCATTTGCAGAAAAACATTATACCCTTTTCAATGGGTTCAGGGTATAAAAACATTCTGGATATTTGAATTTTACAGATTTAATCTCCGCTGCTCCATCTAATTGAAATTAGTTTGCGAAGTATTTGGCGCTAGCAGCTAAGCTTATAATATCGAGGTTGTTGTTAGTCCAGAAGTTTTATGAAATGGGTACAAAGGCAATTGTTTTCACTGAATCAACTCGTGGCATAGTCTATTTATAGCAGTCATTTCCTTTATAACGATTTGACCAAAAGATGTATATATTGTATATTTCGGCATTATTATTTATTTTTACTAATTCTCTGCACCCGAAACCATGTGCTAATTGATATATGCTTGACATCCCTTCTACCCCCAAACCACAAACTCATTGATTCAAACGTAGCTTATAAATAATTGCGTAATAAAACTTTTGCCTTACTGGATAGTTATGAATGCTGCTCTTACATGTTTTCAACAGTTTTATGCTTGTTTCTGTTCTGAGTAGGTGACCGCATGCACTTTTGCTCCTGTGGGCAACCTCGAAGGGGCCAAACATTTTGCAGCTTATAAAAGGGACTTAAAGGTAAAAGTCAACAAAAAATATGTATGAAATGGACAATGTATTTTTAATCGACTTTTAAGTCACAAAGAGCAATATATAAAAACAAAAATGTTATGTAAAAATCTAAACTAAACAGTTTGTTGTTCAAATTAAGTCGTGTATTAGCAAGTTACAAAATTTAAGATTTTGTCTTTTATAAAAAAGCATTGCGTCTTAAGCCCAAGCCCTTAACTATGGGAAAAATATAATCAGCATCGGAATGGCATTGGCACTATAGAAGAAATAAGCTTTTACATAAGAAAACTTGTATTCAAGACTTTTATATATTGCTCGAGCAAGTCAACAAGTTGAAACAAATTTTAATTTGATTCAAGAAACTTGCGTGTGTTTTTTACTATTTTGTGCGGGTATAGTTTTTTATAGGGATTGTTTCACATTTAAGATGAACTCTGCAGTTACTCAAGAAATAATTTGTTTTACGTACTTCTTGGGCGACATTCAATTGCTAACAATGAATACCACCATGGAATTGACAGATCTCGCCTAAGTTCAGAAATGCTACAAGCACTTTTCAGAAAAATTATGCGTGTGGCTGACAGGTATACAGGAAATGAAAAATGTGAAGAATGCGTTTTACGTTTAATAGCGTCAAACGATGCCAGCACAAGAGTATGACAAATAGGCTAACAATCCAAACAACAATAAAAACAGTCACCCACTTAAATCTCTTTTTTTTTGGTGATAGAACATTTATCAGAGCGTGGCTTGTCGCTGTCAGCGTTTAATTTGAATAATTCCAGTTCAGAACCTTTATTCAATTGTATGATATTTGCCTCTTCTGTAGTTTACTTTACTTTAAAGAGTTTCATGTCACTTTCACTTGTTTGTTTCACCAATATATTTGTCGTCAAATTAACTATTTTTCTAACTGAAAAAACCTTTTGCCCGATTGGATTTGTGGTCCGCACTGAACAATTTGACGCCGGCTTCTGGCGGCTGCAGCAGCAAGCAGCTAAATTACGGTTGCTTTTCGATATCGAAATTGTTACTGAGTTTACAGCCGGCTTTTTGCCAGCTGCATTAGTGTGTGTAAACAGCTGATATCCCACTTAGCGAAAGCACGGACGCGTCGAAAGGCGCTGCTAAAGCTTTTCGAGGATTAAAATTGGGTGGCCTTTTCTATGTTTCAAACAGAGCTTACTCTAAGAATTAAACTTAAAAATATTCTGCCAATTATAAAAGTGTAGTTTTATTGGCATAAGCAACGACTTATATATGTTTTTCAATGAACCTAATTCGTATTTTTATCAATATCAAAAGATTTAATAGTTGTAGGTTAGACACACTTTACACTGTGTGAAAGCATTTTCTTTGTAAAATTAAATGTGCGTAAGCATGTACATTTTTATTCACCAACAGTTGCATTTTGAGCTCAAAATCATTTTTATGGATTTGTGTTCTAAATAACAACTGTTCTTCTTTTCAGAATGTGGTTTGCGTATTTTCTTGAATTATGAATATTGCTTTTACGCATTGTCAACAATGGAAGCATATGAAAGCACAATTGGTTGTGGTCATTGCTAAGCGCCATGTATTGTTGAAAATGTTATTAACAGAGCGCGTTAGTTTCCGCTGTTAGCGGTTAGGCGAGCAGCTTTGCTGACTGTTAACAGATACTAATTCATCTTGTTTATTATTATTATCTCTAGAAGTAGTAGTAGAAGTAGCATATATATTTTATTAAATATATTAGATCTTTTAAGATCTTATATTTTATACTAACCAAACAACATATACATGGAACATGCAGCACAACCAGAGTGAACGCACAAAAATCGGCGACATCTGGTTATTTGGCCAGTGGCTTTACTTACTTGAATGCTTATTGCCAATTTCGCGGCGCATTTCCTCCGACCGATTCGTGATATTTGGCTCAAGCGGATATTGGGCAAAGGTCATGTTTTCGTTGCGCATCTGTTTGCCGAGGGATTTCATCATTAGAAAACAGGTGTGCAAGCCTGCCACATTGCGCTGGCCATCGCGTTCATAGTAGAAAATAGAATGTGACCAGTTGTGCCTGGACGGTAAACGGACCCAAGATTGATTGGGAAACGCATAAGAACTACAATTGCTGACTTACTGCTTCATCACATTTATAGTCAACTCGGATAAGGACTCAAAGCTGAGCATTCCTGTGCGCAGTAGCATATAAAACTCATCGCCACAATCGGTTTTCTTCTGCTCAAAGTCGTAGGTGGAGCCGCCCACGGTGATGAGCGGCGTGCCCTGGCTATTGAAGTACTTGGTAATGCGACTTACAGCAGCTGAAAATTGTTGCATTTAGTGGAGTGGCGTGATGGACGTGTGCTTCATCGTAGCTTACCCAGCGAATAGTCGCAGACAGGTCCAAAAATAATCTGCGCACACTGCTTGATGATGCCATCCATGGCCCGGATGACGCCCAGCGAAGCATCGCACTTGGTGTCGTGGGCAAGCCATTCCAGATCAATATACGATGGTATCAGCGATGTGGCACGGATCTGCTGCTCTGCCACCTTCAGAATGGGCAGCACGCGCTGCAGCGACGCCTCGTACCCATCGTCATTTGGCAGCAGCACCAGGGCCCGTATGGAACAGTTGCCGCCCGTCTTATCGCAGATGGCCTCACAATCGCGCGGCGGCTCGTCCCGACACCTGGCCTGGCAGCTGTCCAGGCACTGCAGGCACAAAAGCAGCAGCAAACACAACAGCTGCCCCATGCTCACATCCTTAACGGCTGGCTGTTGCCGTTTCCAGGCTCCAAGATTTCTAATAATTTCAAGTGATTTGCAATTTTTCACGCTTGCATTTTGTAGCTTCGATTTCGTCCGGGCGCACTCTGGGCTCATTTGCATTGGCGCCAGCGTTTTGCCTCTGCCTCTGGTTCACAGCCTGCCTTTGACTTTGCTCCTTTGGCTTTTGCTTTGTGAGTGCAATTTACCAATCAATTAAGTTGCATTGATTGCTCGAAAAGTGTAAATGTTGATAGATTTTGCAGCATGTTGCCGCTGAAAATAAATAATTAAAGAGGTTTACGATTAAAGTTCCTCATCTGTATATATAATTATATAAATATATAAGTATATAGCTAGCGGATATTACTCAACTTATCCCGAATCAAGTTTTTTCTATAAGTATTCGGTTTAATTTTCACTCATCAACAAGCAGTCTTAAATATACATAAACTAGCTAGTATTACCCGGCCTTGCCCGTGGCAAGTTTTGTGTTTGAAATTGCATGTGAAATTGATTTTGAAGCCGAACAATAAACTTTCATAGAATCGTTTACCGCCAATTTACCATAGCCTCGAATGGAATTTCTAAACTCGCTGAAACAAGTATTCATTTAATACTTTTCTAGGGCTTTGAATATAAGTTTTAGGTGGATAAGTTTCAGCTCGAAACGTCACCCACAAAAGTGTGAAACCTCCCTCAAATGAATTTGAACGAAGATCTTTGAAGGTAAACAACAAATAAATTACCACTATTGTGAATGGAATTTCCCAGCTCTTGTGCTATGGAAAACAATTATAATTTCCAAGTATTATGAATGCCGTTCTGTTATAGTCCGTGTCCAGTTTACTTGCCCGGCATCTGATTGTGTTTGTTTATTTCTTTTAATGATCTATCGACTCCCTTATTGCTCGAGTCAGTGGGTTCCATTATCTTTATGACAAGGCTTGTTTTATCGTTGTTTGTAGGGTTGCTGCAATAAAAGCAGTAATTGTGCTTTAAAATTAATTATTGCATACTTTCATTGCATTAGCATAGAGCACACACAATCCCGTGCAATAAAAAATCAAAAGACTCCACAATGATATATATATTTCAATTTTCCATTGGTTGTAGTCGTGAATATTGTACCATCGTCTTGATACCATAAACTTATCGTACGTTGAACTTTGTTTGAAAATAACCTAATAGGAAACTAGGTAAGTTTCTGCGAGATCAGCAGCAGGGAGACTTATTATTGAGTTCATTATGTTTCCACCCATTTCCCACACGTGAGAAGCCATCCGTTCATCGGTATAAAAAATGTATCTAATTTCAATATTTTAAAAGATAAAAGTAAATCAAGCAAGAGAAAAGACTGAGTTTATACACTCAGTCACACAACCTTGATCGCATAATTTTTGAAAATGAGTTCAAACTTCGATCGAACGGTGAGAATAATATTTCATGTAAGCCTTTTCCACCCATTATTCACAGTTGCGGGTGCAATTCTGTGCGGGCTGTGCGTTGATTACCAGGCAGTTAGTCAATTAACCGGAACTTAAAATGTTTTATATTATTAAATAGTAAAATAGTAAAACCCCAAGCGAGATCAGACATAAATTGGCACCCAATACAGCCAACTACTTGGCCACTTTAATTATCATTTACGACAGTCCGTAAAGCCCCTCATTCTGGCTATCAAATGTTTGTACACATATGTTCCGATTGACTGACGTATTATGGTTTATGGTTCCTCATTAATTAAATGCAATGAATCATGGTGGAAATGTTATGGTAAAACGTGTACAATGTTATTTGCTGCTGAACTCGCCTACAGTGATAAGCAAGTGTACAAGAGCATATTGCACTCGGGTGCAACCGACTGCGCCCTACTCTGTTTGTAGTTAGACTGAGAAAAAGAGGCTTTATTATTAGTGAATCATATCAGTCTGTAATATCGAGCAGATGTACCTGCCCTTAAAGCTATCTATAATAGTTTTTCATCTTAAGCTTCTGGTAAAATGAAATGGTAATATTAAAAAAATATACTCTTTTTAGTTTTATGCAAGGGTATAAAAAGGTTCAATTGTTTACACACATTTCAGCGGAATTGTGTACATTTACTAAACCTATTGATAAGGCCGCAATGAATGGAATATTTTCGGTGGAAATTCAGTATTTCAGAAAAATATAATTCAGCGGATTTTGGAAATTTTCTAAATCTTATAGCCACCTTTCCAGGTTGCGATGTTAAACTTGTCAACCGATTGATTTTTTTATTTCTAATCTTATCAGAGCCCATTGAAAACTCATGATTTTTTGTATGCCAGCAATTTTAACAGCAGTGGTTTCCTATAATTGGCCATGAAATACATCAAATTTGTGAAAATAAATCTTAATCAATATCAAAAGTATCCACATGAGGCTTAATAATTTTTAATTATAGTCCAAAACAAAACAAGTAAGGGTGCTCTAGTGCCGAGAGTGCCTGACCAGGGAATACCCCAAGCCTTCTTCTACCAACACCAAATGCCTTATTGATAATAAAAATAATTTAAAAAAAAATGAGATAGTTACCTTCAACTGAACTTGTCACAGCTTCATACCTTACAGCCATACCAACAATTAAATTTGATGATGATAAGAGACGAGAAAGTAAGGATATCTTCGTTATGCCGAAGCATTAATACCCTTTGAGACATTTGCCCTCCGGTCCTGCAGATATGTAAGTGTACTGAAGCTCGTAAATGCTGAGTTTGAGCAAAATATCTTGACAAACAGAATATTATACCTTTATGGGCTGCGTAATAATAAGATTTGTAAGTAGTTCACACACTTTACTATTTTCATATGCTGAGAGTATATCCGTAATTGCCAGTGTAAATATCTTGACAAGGAAAAGAAAGAAAATATCTGCAGCAAAACGACAAATATCTTGAACAAACTTATCAAACTTATTTCCTCTTTACATACGACCTAAGTGCTATTAACATCGGACTACAATATGTACTATTGGAAGTATATTAATCAAATTCAGTTTCAACAAGATGGTCTGCAAAGGCATTTAATGGGTAGCACTATAAACTATATAAAGTGTTTATATTGTCCTTGACCATACTCTATTTAACCATGTTGAATTAGTACAACATTGAAATATCAATGCTGAATGCATTGAAGTTTCTTTATTGGATGGGTTGATAAAAATAGTTTAGATTGCGTTTAGAACTTGGCGCCAGGCCAGCAGAAATACCACGCGTCTGACAGCTCCGAGCATTTTGTGGTCTGAAAGTCTGCCCAAGGAGCTATGCAAACAAAATATTGTCATTTATATGTATGGACGGGCGGAAGGGAGGATCTGCTTATCAGAGTCGAATGTGGGCGGAATAGCAGAGCAACAGCTGGTGATTAACTAATAAGAATTCATCACCGGCAATTGACAGTGCAAATAGTGGAAGGCGCAGAAGGTGATTTGCAATTTCGAAAGCGAAATGCCAATGATACCAAATATCAAATCGTTTGGGTCATGTGCTTCATATCAACAGCTCAGTTGAACGCTTTAAATGCCCTCATTATGATATGGCAAACGCCAGCCACAACATGTTCTGAAAGAAACCCCACATCAATCATATAGAACCATGCTAACATCGAGATTTATACTAATGTGAAATATCTGGCTCGAGATCTTAAGTTAGCGATATCCAGTCTATGTCTATATGTAAAGTTTGCTGCTCAAATTTAATTGATCGGCTCGAACATATCTATATATATATATATATTATGTGATATGTCATTTTATTTATATTTAAATTCAAATCATAAAAAGGTAGCTCCGTTTTTTATGATTATTTGGGAGTAGACAATCTACTATTCAGTTTACTTTTTTCTTCCGAGTCTTCAACCTTACAAATATCTTGAAAGTAAATTTAAAGTAATATATATATAGAACCCGGCAGGCGCAACGCATTTAACACTTAAAGGTGGTCTTATTATAAAAAATTTCAAAAATAAAAATCAAATAAATTAATAACAAATTGACTGGAACATGAAAAGGCTTATCAATTGGTAACCGTCAATTTATTTTTAGGTCGTTAACAAAATTAAATAACTGCTGATTGATTACAATCGGAAAAGGTGACAGTGCCCACTCGGGCCGAACTGCAACTCGAGTGAATCAATCATGTTTACACACGGTTCCACAAGTACAAATGGACAAATATTAATAAGCAACCCCATACATATAGTATATGGTACACATACATATGTATGGCCACTTATGCCTGGTGGGCCATAAGCCCGTGAGCCCAAAGCTTGTACCTAGACAACTCGACACATGTGCACAATTTGTGCGCTTGTTGGAAATATAAACCAAAAATAGAGACACAAGCTGCAGTACTTACAGATACCCTGTAACCAGCATCGTCGTAAGCAATATTCGAACCTACCTTAATATTTTTATTCTTCACACACTTTGATGATATCTTATTTAACTTCAATAGTCACAGCCCGATCTTATGAAATTTTCTGGAGCACATATATAACTACCTTAGCCCTTTTTACCCCTTTTCGCACTTTTCTATGCATACTGGGTATATACAAAAATGGTACGCATTAAGCTCTGAGTTGTTTTCGTATTAATGGCTCGTGTATTACTTAGACATACTTTCTGCTTAATTCGAGCACTTAACTGAAAAGCAAATGGCTCTGTGGTTATTCGTGAGGCCAGAAATGGAATGGATTTGTTGAATTGCTTGTCACCTTTGAGACGAACAGAAATAGCGGTTTCTATTTATCAACTAATATTATTATGAAATCAAAAAAAAAAAAAAAAAGAAGTGATATGTGCATTAGTAATATGAGACGTATTGAAGCTTGATGGACAACATCAGCAGGGTACAAACACTTCAACTATCAGTTTAATTCGATTTGATTTCCTTTTAAAAATAATGTCATAAATTAAGTAGCAGTTTGTTATGTAAACTACTGGAGTAGCTGTGGAGCAATCAAGGCAAAGTCCTCGTCAAGCCAGTTCTAGTCAGTTCTATTGCAATTTATCGAATCTGAAAGCCGCCAAGACGAAACGTCTACAGTTCAAATTTAGCTATTTATAGGCATTTGTTTATTTTTAGTTTTCTAATCAATGGGCCGCGTCCACTCTGATAAGATTGCGAAATGTTCACAAATTCGCCCGATTGCCTATGGGTAAACTTATAGATATCAAGCCTCAATGTTTCATACGACATAGGCTGAAACATTTGCACAGTTTTTATAATGAACAGCACAAACATTCCGCTCTCAATGGTTTTTCTTTTAATAAATTGTTTTTAAATCTAGTAATTTGCATGCTACTTAAATGCCCATTCATCATGGCCATAATTAATTACAATAAAGTGGCCCGGCTTTGTCGCAACTAAATTTATATTATTTATGAATTTTTAATGCGTGCATAATTTTATTTAAATATAGACACGTTACCAGGAGCTAAATACGATAACAACTAGCCCGAAATGTGCAAAATATATATATATATATATATTTTTAAACCTTTTGCTGAACTGAAGACCATATAATCAAGCCGTAAGATAAACAAACATCCAATATCCGTTAACCGCCAAAATGGCATTTGGGTTTTATCTAAAACCAGAAAATTGCTGTCGATATTGTGAATTCTGTCGGCACGAACTGATTTTCAATCTTGACACACTTTCACAGCAACAATGCCCAATAAGCTGCGTGGGTTGTACTTGTTCTTTCCAAAGGGAATTGTTCTTTTACCAAAACATATATAACTATTCCATTTCATACCTCACTTTCGCATAGATCTCCCAAATAACTTCTATGAGCAATCAGCAGAACCAACTTTCCAAACATTAAGGCAGATAGAAGAATCGGACTATAAGATACGCTGTAAGAAGCCACTTACTGCTTGAAAAAAAGTGACATCATAAACCAGGCAGCTTTATTAACATTATTACTAAATATGTCACATTTAACTATTTTAATCTATGTATAAAATTTGTATATATTTTTTGTAATTCGCTGTTTTTTACATTTACATTTTCAGCTATTTTTACTGAGCACAGGGTATATAAAGCAACACAATGGCGTGTTTAAAACTTTATTAAAAATCCTTAATTGTTGGACTGGCTGCGAGCCTCAACGACATTTTCAATGAAATGGCTTTAAGCGCCATTATAATTAAATTTATTAACATGTATGGCCATTGGCGGCAAAAACTTTTCAATATACAAATTTATGGCTGGCAAATGGTTAAGAACTGTTTCTGACATGTTCATGAATTGTCTTAAGTTTTAATGACCTGCTCTTACGGTAAGCCGCTTAAGTTCTTTAATGTATTTTGTTTCTGAAGTCAAGTGCTTAAATTGAAAGTTAACAAAACTTGAACGCAACTCTGATGCCCAAAGTGGTAAACCTAATGATCCATGAGGCATGTTTTATAATTTATTTAAAGAATTTGATCGTCTTTTGTGAGCAAATATGCAATGGTTTAAGACAACTTATTTAAAGGATAAATTCTCTAACTAAAAGTTAAATAATGGAATCGGATATCGAGCACATCTAAAATAAAATATTTGAGTTAAACATATGATAGGAGATATCATCAGACATGTAGAAATTCCTGTTAAAGCTAGCTGTTTGCCAAATGGAGTAGAAGGCATTAACAGCCCGGAAATACATATGCAAATAAAACACACTTTGTGTTTGGGCTTCTGAGGTCCATCCATATGCTGACATGTGCACATATACGAATATGAGTATTATGGTTATGGATTATGGATTTCAATTGTTTTGCTAAATATTGGCTTTGGTTCTTTAAAGGCTCAACTCTTATTAGACACACGCCAACGCATTTATTAGGCCATCAGCTGGCGCAAAAGTCAAGTATTCGATGCAGCATATCTCTGGATATAGTTATTCAGACATGTTTGAAATTTCAATGGAGGAGGAAAACGCAGAGGAAAAAATGCATAATGTAATGTGGTTGCCGGAAAGAGCAGGTCCTTTTAGTTCCGCCAGCTATAGAGGCTCGCACGCTTGCATAACAATGCGGAATCGCATTACGCATACGCACTGTGTGGATGTGAGTTAAAGTGTTCGAGAAAAGCTGCATACCAGCTGTCGCAACCCGCTTAGATGTCAAACTGAGTTAACAAATTGATGCCAAGTGTGTAAACCCAACAAAAACTCGGTGTGCCAGAGAGTGTGGAAATAAATATTTGGAAGCTGCTCGAGGGGGATCAAAGCGTAACTGACTGCACGCCAAAGCGTTCTATTGAATAATGGGAATGTATTAAACTAAGAACAAGAAAATGACAAAGCAGCTAATTAATGTCTGTCTGTTAACGCGTTTCCTTTAAAACGCAGTTTACGTTGCTATTAACGAAGTACATCAAGAGTTTGCACTAAAAAAGCGAAAATAAAAGCAAAATAAATCTTTGCTTGGCAAGATTAAAAGATAATTAAAATTAGAATTTATTTTTATTATATTTTGTCGGACTGAAATTTAGGGGAATTACCTGACCAGAAAAGGGTATGTCAAAGGTATTGAAAACTATCATTTTGAGACATTTTTAGAAACTCAGTTTAATCTTACTTTATATTATCTCTTTTGATTGCATACAAACTTTTTAAATTTTTTTTTAAATTTGAAAGGAAATTTGAAACAAGAGACAGAGACGGAGTTTAATCAAATTTGGACTATACATGACTGCCTTTAACTGGATAAACGCTGTCCGAATTGTCAAACAGAATGTAAGCGAAAATGTGAGAGGGAAGTTGCGTCGGACCGCAACATAAGTGCGTGCATGTGTGTCCTGGCAATACATGGAATATATGTGCCTGTGAAGTGCCGACGTGTTCTCTTGTGTTCGTTAGCGGCAGATGTTCCCAAAGGTCAACAGCCAGTTCAAAGCCTTATTTATATCTGCCTTCAATTAAAAGTTCTCTTTTTAAATAACTCGCTTTTTAAGCGACTTTAATCAAAGTAAATGCAAAAAAAAACAGAAATTAAAAATCCTTCATGCAGCTTACCTGTATATTCTGGGTGACTGTGAGACACTATAACATCTATTTGAATTGGCTTTGATTTGATGTCAGATATTATATATTTTCATGGAGTAAGACACTTTAATACTGATAGAAATTCTATTTATTTCTCAGGCACTTTTACGAACTACACGCAATTAGCTTCTTTTTTTGATGATTCAACAATTAGTAGCGCGATAAAGATGCTTCTTGTGCCTGCTCAAGAGTTTATGGTACAGAAATAAAGTGCTGATATGTCCGCATTGACATCAGAACACAATAATACACACAATCTCGCGTTTTCGCAAATCGTTGACAGTTTCAGATATTCACGTTTCGCCGCGTAATTTAACCCGAAATGCGCGCTTTCCGCTTAACTGTTATTTTTCGACTATTATTGGCGAAGTATTAAAAAGCTTGCCAACACTTTTACTAACCATCAATTTTAGCACATTTCACCAATGCAAAACCAACTCAACAATGGGCCATGTTAGTGATAAGAAAGCGCCCCGATAACAGGCAGCAGGCTAGTAGATGCTACACCTTTTGCTGTTAATGAGCAGGCAGTTAACAGAGCTGCTGTTAGCACGCTGTTAATAGTGCTGTTATCTGCCAAGCGCTAATAATCATTTTCCTGATAATAGTATTAATATCGCCTTCAATTTTACGCTTTTGGTTGATTGTTAACAATGATTTTGCAATGATTACGTTATGTGACTAAAAAGAAGGATTTTCGACTTAGATTTGAAAAAAAAAAGAACAAAAATAATTGTAGTTTTTCTCCACATTCACCAGCTATTGAGTGGGTAGCTTAGTAAAGTTATTCTTAATTTTTCTGTAAATCAAACATATTAAGTATTCTTATGAAGACGTCACGTAGCTATTAAATGAAAAAATCATTAAATTACCTGAAAAGCAACACGTCGTATGCGCACTGTAATCCATTTGCACGTTACGCATACGCCGAGTGCTATCTGTGCGAGCAGTTAAGAGCTGCAGTGCTTTCTGCTTGGCGGAGACACGATTAACACAAGTGCGTCTTTTTAAAAATGCCACGCCGAGTGCCGTTTAAAATGAAGGCGGGTCTATTATTTTGTTGTTGCTGTGTTCGGTTGAAAGAGGAAATTCGTCTGCACAAATGATGGTATGATGGCATGATGGGAAATGGATTTCGAGTGTGGCCAACACTTGTCCGCAATATGCATTTGAATGCCGTAGGAAGATGCATTTTTACAGCAGTTACTTTTCTGACACTTCATCCATTGAACATGGACTTTACATATTATTCAGGAATGCAGCTCCAGAAGGGCGACTAGGAACTGGAACCTAAATGTAAAATTACATAGTTGTTTCTGTCTAAATGGGTATGGATAAATCAACCCTTATTGAGAGAACGAGAAGCTGCGGCTACAAGCGACCTTTTTTATTAATTTGTATTATTATTATTAAGTGCTTAAGGCTGACAATGGATTAAAGCTTTACAGAGCAATGTGCGTGTGTGTTAGTGCTTAATATGTTTGTGTTTGTGTGTGTGTGTGTGTGTGTGTGCCTGTGTTTGTGTGTATTGGACTTGTACTGATAAATACAAAATGAAAGTTGCTAACATTTATCATTAATCATTTACTTAAAGCTACATAAGCCGTGCCTTGCATTGTGAGCTGCATGCTTTACTCTCTCGCCCTCGCTAACTTTCTCTTTTGTCACTCGCTATCTCTCTCTCTGCTTAGATGGCATCACCGTCTTCGTTGATGGCCTTGAATATAATGTTATAGACGTGATCGATCAGCTTAGTCCACGTTTCTACTTGACTCTCGTTAAGACTGCAGGCAGCGGTGAGCACTTCCAGAATAACTTCTTTGAGTTGCTATTAAAAAAGCACAAATAAATACAAAAATTAAATATTTATATTCACACGACAATGCCATGGCACTTACATTGTAAGATTCTCTAGATATTCTTCGTGGTATGTGGTTAACTGCCACCTTGGTCCATATCTCATCCAGTTTCTCCTGATCACCATCCTGGCCGAGCACCCTAATCGACTCGTCGAACACACGAATTATGCGACCGGCATGGGCCCGGAAACGTGCATTGGACTGAAGTACAGAACGTTGAATTGAACTCCTCAACGTTCTCCTGTGAAGTGATTTTTACTTAATACTTACGGGCAACTCTTCCAATGGCACATTATGAAATGGAAATTTTTGCAACGAGGACGGAAAACGATTGAAGAACGCTGTCAGTATAGCAGCTCCAGAGTCTGTTGGTGTCGCCACGGGTATTTCCCAGGTCTTCTTGATCATTTCCAACTCATCGCTGTTCATGTTTTCGGCTCAAAATAGACGTCTAATGCTGCTGCTGCTCTTCAAATGGTAGCCTCGATATTGGGTTTTAAGCTGTCAAACAAATGAGACATACGCATCAGTATTGCTATAAATCAGAGTACTAGCCCTCACCCTCACTCTCTCCCTCTTACTCTCTATTGCTCTCTGTCTGTCGCCCAGTCTGCCCAGCAGACAATTGAGATTGACAGTTTTACATTGCAATTGTCAGTTAGCATTCGCATTGTTGGGCCCGGCAAACAATGAGCGCTCGCTAGCAACAAGCCGACAACAATTGAAAATCAAAATAACAATAATGCCACAACAACAGTGGGCCATATACATGTGCGCACACACCACGTGCTAAAAGTCAATGGCTTCGCTATACCCACGCACAGCAGCACAACAAACAAAAGTTCATATGTGAATCAACGTTCCAGCATCCAGCCGGTAATCCCAACAAAACATTATATTCCATTATAGAGATGGCAGCGTGTCTGCGTTGAGGAGGTTCAACAAAAAAATATGTGTATATGGTACAATTGCTCATATTAAATTAATAGAATAGCTGACATTAAATCTTATTATATATATCACTTTTTTTGTGTATAATAATGTCAAAATCGAAAACTGTTTTATGTTAAACCAATACAAATAATTATGCAATTTATTTAAGTATAAGAAAATCTGCTAAATACGTTTATTAAAGCATTTTGAAGATGAATCGTTTGCATGTACTTTGAATGGAATTAAAACTTTTAAAATGAATTTTGAGCAGAGCTCATCTCGAATCAGGTTCATGTTCAGCGCTGTGGACTTGGCTTTGCCGCCATGCCACTCGCCCCTCTTGGCTGGGGTCGCTCATCTCAATGAGCAAATCTTGTGGCTTGCTCTCGTTTACATAAATTATGGTGGCACTTGATTTGCATTGTGAAGTACACATTCAATTCAGATGCTTGACGGGAATATGGATTGGAATGGAAAGAGAGAGAGAGAGAGAGAGAGGGATCTGGCTGGAGGTTCCCAAGCGGAAAACGGAAATATAAACAGCAAGGGCAAAAATACACATGCAAATAATAAGTATATGCCCCAAAAATGAAAGCACACGAATCAAATCTCATTTCAGAGGGATTGTTAATCAATAAAACTCAATTATTAGGTAACATATATTTATTTAGACTAAATTGTCGCCTATTTTAATGCAAAAAAACAATGATTGTTTAAAGAATGCCCACGGTTCAATTTAGATGAGATATTATAAAGTTTGAATATGTTTAGCATATTAAATGCCATTTAGGTTCCTCTTCCTAAGAGCTTGGGCAATAAACAAAAAGAATTCAAAACGGCAAAACTGCAAAAGTCAGCTGCAAGTTTATTAAAAATGTACAAACTCACACACACACACACACAGAGAAAGAGAGAGAGAGGGAGAGGGAGAGAGAGAGACATCATGTGAAAAAATAACAAACAAATAGTACAACAGTGAAATGGACTCAAGTGCAGCCGCAGCAGGTGGCCACCATGTTATTGTTGCCGCAACGGGGCGGATTGGTTGGGGACTATAAGCTGGGTTGTGGGATATGCCAAGTAAAGGTGCGGCCATCGAAAGAGCTCGACTGAAAGACACCCTCTAGCAATTATGAAATTTATTTTATCTTATTGTCAATTAACATTGAAACCCCTTACAGAATTTTGAAAGCAGAATCTGAGCAGAAAATCTACAATCTTATTTAATGTATACAAGTTTATAATGAAACTAGCCAAATGCAAAAGGTTGAAATTAATATGAACAAATAACATTAACCGGAAAATGCGAAGAAACTCCTAGTAAATCATTTAATGACCGTCACAGTCACTTGAGAGCCCTTTACATTTGCAGGGCATTGAAAATGTGGCAACTGTAAGTAACCTTGTGTCGGAGCCCCTTTGAGACTCAATCATCATCATCATCAACATCGGCAAGAATAGCAGCAGCTAGCGATGTTCATACGAACATGCATAATTCCCCTCGTTCCAAGCGTCCTGTGGCTTTTGTGGTTGATGTCACTACAGGCCTGTGTCCCGCTACACATACATCAATATATACATAGATATCTGAGTCTGAGTGTGTGTGTGTGTGTGTGCTGCTGCAGTCAAGAGTAAAAAGCAACAACAAATCAAGCGTTGCCTCACTTGCCTTGCGTGTACTTGTGTGTCGTCTGTAAGGACATTGAGCGCTTAATTAAATTAAGGCAGCTTGATGGACAGCTACTAGACAACGAGACGCAGGCCTGACAGTCCCAGCCACTGCCACTGCCCTTGCATCTGCCACTGCTGCTGCCACCTACCAATCATTCAGGTGTTGCTAAAGGGATGCTCTAGCCTTGCCCATATACATGTGCACGTGTGGGTCTGCCTGTATGTGTCTCTCTGCCTGTGTGCGTGAGTCTATAGTGTGTATGCTGTCACTCAACTGTCGTGGAGCATTTCATTGCTATTCTGGCGAAAAACCCAAAATTATTTACTTGATCAAACTCTAAGATGTCACTGTTGCCAAGAGGCTTGATCTTTCGATAGGGAGTGTGTCTATAAATTTAATACAATTTATAAATAGATTAAGCTGGAGCTATATATATACTTGTTAACATTTTTGATCTGTGTATCATCAAGAATTTACCAAAATAAAACTCTGCTGTTTTTCCCAAATATAATCTTGTTAGTTCTGTCTTTAACCTTATTTATTTCTAGCAATTTTTGAGCATAAAAAATGTTAGTTCGAATTAAAATCGAATATCATTTATGCTTGAATATTAACTAAACCTAATGCAATATTGTGCAAATTTAATTTATTAAAAAAAAGTTTATTTTTACAAAAAGGTAGGTAACTTTCAAATAGGGCACTGATTGGGAGTAAATCGAATAAACAGCATCAAATACATTTCCTGCTTTGCTAAATCGAGTTAAATTTGATTCCTGCAATCGCCCCAAAAGGCTGAGAGGTTTTTAAATTTAAAGCATGGCCGTTTTATTGGCACACGCACACATTTACAGAGTGAAGCACACACACACACATACATACACATATGCTCATAGGAAACATTAACGATAATGACAAAAACAAAAACAACAACGAAACGACACTTGTTCGCAAGGACACACGAGAAATCCATAAATTTAAAGCATGCTTTTGTGCGCCAGAGCGCAAAGAAGAGAGAAAACAAAACCAACTAAATACGAAACGGAAACCGAAACAGAAACAGAAACAGAAACAGAAACAGAAACAGAAACAGACAGTATTAAATCAGCTGTAGCCTGTTGAGCGAGCGCGGCAAATTTAAAGAATTCGCAAAAGACACAAGTCAATATTTGCACTTGAATTCACAGTTAACTGCAGTTGACATTACAGTTATAATTACGGTTATATATTTACGATAGTCGCACCCAATTCTTTCATAATTCCTCGAGCGGGCTTTCAATCGTTTTCTGTGGCTTTGCGCCTTAAGTATTACACTTTTTCCTTTTGCAATTTGTTTATTTTTATTATTTATTGTCAGTTCGTTAGCCTGTCGTCGCAGTCGCTGCCGTCGACTTCACTGTGAACCGCACGCTTTGCGTTCGAATCAGACACTGAGACTGAGACTGAGACTGAGACTGAGACCTGAGGCAGAGCTGAGACCAGACTGATTGAGCACGCGACCCAACGGCTCGTTTTCAGCGTTAACAAAACGCGCTCTCTGCCGGCAAATACAGATTTGCACACTTGCTGTTGTTCCCATTGAGTACGCGCCAAAAACGTGCCAGCCGAGTGGTGAGAGAGCAACAGCACAGAGGCGTCGCTAGCGGGGCTCATTTTACGATTGCTTATCGGAAATGCAGTGCCAGGTGCCACCTGTAGACTATACTATTTGAGCAAAAGCTTTCGACAGAGAGCTAAACCTTTCTACACAGTCTCTCTCTCTCTCTCACTCACTCTAGCGCGCTAAAAGCTTAGAGTTAAACTTTTCTACCGCCAAAAGACGAATCACAAATGAAATCAATTTCACTTTAAAGTGAATTTGGCCTACGTTTGATATAATATATATAATATTTTACCTGGCAAATATATATATATATATTTTTCAAAAGTATACATAATTCTAGACATTTTTGTTAAGAGAGTTCCTTTTCTTTCGGTCTCGTATCTCGCATTCCTATAAACCTACCTATCCGAACAGGTTGTGTTGTTTTTTTTTTTTCTAGATTTTCTACTTGTTATCAGTTCATTGAATGACGTGCAACAACAAAAGCTTATCGATAATTAGCGAAAACAAAAACACAGATGAAAAAAACAATAAATAAGCACAAAAGTCACACCACACTGCACTTATTCGATGTTGTTTATATAGATACGATATAAAGTTCCAGTTTCTATATAATTATTGTCCAAACAGAACTCACTTTACTCACTGTTGCAACCACACTCAACGCCGTTAAAATTCAAACTGAGAAGCATCGTCGACTCAGGCGGCTATTTAAGCGATTTCCGAACCGAACGAACCAAAAGCAAACAAACAAACGAACAGTAAAAAAAAAAAAAAAACAACAACACTTGCGACTTAAAGGAAGACAAAGCTGAGAACAACAAACACGCCTCCCTTGTCGAAGCTTCTATCTGTCATCATTTAGGGAGCGCAGGGGTTATCGAACTGATGTATTAGAAAACAATGAAGCATTTCATCAGATCAAGAAAATATTGCGTGCACTAGCTTATTTTAAGAGTTATTAAGACTCGAATCGATTGACTGACTTGAACTTAATTGAAGTGTTTTTTTGTTCTTGAAATCATACTTGAAATAGGAACTTCGTAGAGTAATTTTTTGTATGAAATTCATAATATAATTTTATGTGTTTGCATCAAAATATACATCATGGAAAAAATGATTATCATTTGTTGTGCTCGCTGGGGGCAAGCATTTAAATATTGCCCACACATAAAGCTAAGGGTCAAGGGTTCAAGTTGTGCGTTAATTAAAATATTTTCCTTAATTTACGCTGTAAATTTCCAAACCTATTTGAATATATCTGCTGCTGTCTTGTGTTGCCGCACAATAAAATTTGGAATATTCCATTAGTTCTTATGCATCTGGTAATTCACATCCACTTGACCTTTGCATAACATCTAGATTAATTTCGACTGTCACGAAATATTCATCGACTTTTTTAATGTACGCTTTGCATGTTTTCAATGAAGTTTTCACACCACATTATGCCACTAATTAATTGGTCTCCGATGACAAAATTGTAGCAATATTAATTATTCCATTTTTATTCGCAATAAAAAGTTTCAATTGTTTAAACTAATGAAAGCACATAGGAAAAATCTTAAAGTAGTCACATTAAAACCTGCCAATCGATCACACTTCTCTGCTTCTTCCTTTTTTCAGTTCCGGATCTGATGCAAATTCGAGAGAATCAATTTGAATTGATCAAAATAAAAAGTATATTCATAATACTCGAGCTTTTTAAGGGCGAATGGAATGGAATGGGCCGCAGAGTCGAAAGGCGTATTTACAAGTTTCTATCATTGTTGCTAATTATTCGTCTAATACAATTGACATGCGAAGAATATACGATTGAAATTGTATTACTATTCGAACAAATTTTATGTAATCATTTTTTATGCACACCAAACAATTGGCTCGTTGCCGTTTCCTTTGCTTTATGGAGCCAATTGTTTATGCCAAAATTGGCGGTCATTATAAGCCAGTCGAGACCCAAATACTAATGAATATTCTCTAAAACAGGCAAATACTATGTAGATTATTCCAATTGTATGCTCAGTTTTCGTTTTGTTTAAACAATCGCTACTCTATGCCAGTCACGTTGCAAGAATCTAATATATGTATGCATACATATGTGCATGTATGGGTGCATGTGTAAACTCTGAGCAAGCCTTTGGCAAACGTAAACATTATTTTATTTATTTAGTTAGAACCGTTGTTTGCACTGGACGTGCCTTGGCTATCAGGAATTTTATAGCACATGGCAAATATTTATAATAACGCGATTTGACTGGCGTATGTACCTGTAATTGCAAATTGTACTACTAACTTACCACATGCTATTTGTTGTTGTTATTTATTTACCTTTTGTTTTAATATTCAGCAGCCAAAAATAAAAGACAGCGCAGGAACAAAAGCAGAATGCAAATGAAATGAAAACAAACACACACAACTGACAGATGGATGCTCCCCAGAGAGCGCGAGAGGCACATACGCACGACGCGCTGAATGTCACAGAGGCAGCGTGAGAGTGAGAGAGTGAGAGAGAGAGATGGATATTTACAGAGTTTGGATATGCGAGCGTTTATGGTAACCTAAACTCAGTCATATTCAGCGCGAGCGCCAGATCGTAGCAGCAGCGGTTCTCTCTCCCTCTCTCTCTCTCTCTGTGCGGCCAGTTTTGACAGTTGATGCTGGCACGTTGGAATAGCAAGATAAAAGTAAATCTACGGAGAGTTATCAAAACAAAGAAAACGCAAAATTACAAAACTGAAAAACAAATGTAATTCGATAATAATGGATACACAACAGCAGGAAAACCAAACGAATAACAAAATCAATTGTGACAGCGACAAGTGTCGCAAAATAAAGAGATTCGTAATTATCGCTTTACTCATCACCATTGGCATTCTGAGCTGGCATTTTTACGGTACATATCCAGACACACACCCATTCCAGCGATACCATACCAATATAAGCTTCCATTTGTAGAATATTTCCATAGTAAGCCGTTGCCCAAAACGCCAGATGATGTGCTGACCTTGTCCCAAGCGCTCTTTACCGAAGAAACAGCATCCAGTCCGTATCTATACAATGTAAATCTCCAGGTCAAGACGAGAGCTGGCGCACACGACGATCGGGCACCCCACCCGTAGGTATATGCATATGTGCCGTACGGATCTAATAGCTATCTATTCTTGTTAGCCTCTTTGAACTGCATTACGATTTGCTGACGAGGGATGCCAACTCCACAACAGCTCTGTTGATGCGGCTCTTCAACAACTACGAACTGGATGTTGCGGTGCCGGATCAGATTACGGCCGAGCATGAGCAGGAGCAGCTGGATTTTCTGCGAGCCGTCATGAACACACGCGTCATGAAAATCTCTATGCGTTTTCTGGCGAAAAGAGGTAAGCTGCAAGTATTGACTGTCCCTGGAATTAGCGCTTTACGCTTCTAAAAACCTGGAAACTTATAGCTCGCCGGTTATATCCGTTGTATCAACATTCAGTTTATCCGTTTATCAAGATCAAAATATCAAACCCTGTTCGAAGAAAGTGGCTAGACATACCCGTCTCTATGAACAGTATATATTCTCGATAAAAAGGAATGAAAGCCAAGCAGAGGCCCTTCTAGGTCTTAGCTGGAAACCATATTTGTTATGAATATTTGGAATTTTGTTTGTGCTGCTTGTACACCTGTCTGTTGTTCAGCATATTTTGAGTCATAGAACCCTCTTCAGAAGGTCGCCAAAAAGAATTGTTGTATACAAAATTTTGTTGTTGCTGTAAAAGCAAAATGCGAACAAGAATTGTTATTGTATTGTATTAAAATAATATTTATCTGTCTTTTGTAAAATATGCTTTTATTAACATGCTGTCTACTTACTTAAAGGCATTGTCAGCAGCGACTATGATGAACAGCTTAAGTTACTGCAGGAGCTTTGGTTTACGCCATATTCCAGAGGAAAAGGTATTGTGGGCAGCTCTAGCTTCGAGCACGTCTTCATGGCAGAGCTTCGGGATCAAAAGGTGCTTGGCATGCACAATTGGCTATACTTCGCCGAGCAGGAGCAGCAGGGTCATGTGAACTACAAGGGCTGGTTGAATCGATTTGACACGGGAAGGGTGTGTACAATTGGCAATTTCAAAATCGTTTGTATTTTTGATAGTTTTCCATAATTTTATTTATTTGTAGCACAATCAATTTGCGTTGGCTTTTCGCATGAGCTTCTTTGGAATAGAAAAGTCCTTCAATGGCTTTCTTGTGGGCACTTCGCCAGAGCTGGAAATGAGTCTATATACAGTATGCTTTTTGGCCACAGCAGAGAAGGAACCTTGCGAAATACAGCTGGGCACGGCCAAGTTGTCCATTGTATCGCATGTCTGGGACTGGAAGGGCAAGCGACTGATAGCTTCAACTTATGTTGAGTTTCCATAAGTGCAACTGAGTCTTGGGATATACATAGCACAAATTCTAGTATTCTATAGTCAAGTTAACTTCATTTAGCGCAGGGAACTCTTATTATTAATCTTGAAATCATGTTACGCATATCGTATCAATTTGTATTAATTGTGCATTTTCTATTAGCTATTCTTTATAATATTCCGCGCGAAAAACTTGCACGTTTTGTACTTATTATATTGTATAGATTCGGTTTATACTGTACTTAAAGTAAAATCCTGTTAATGTGTAAATACGAAGGGCTTTTTCGGACAGATAATTGGCGACCGATGACGCCTAAAGTGCGTGCCAACGTCAATTT